TCTCAATATTATCTCCAACTACCTACCTACCTATATGTCGTTCTCTCAGCATGGAGTGTTAAGGGTTGTGGGATAGATTCTGGCCTCTGCTCTATGAAGGGAGCAGTACCTCAGCTCCTAACACCTGGCGCGAGCTGTTTTTTTTTTTCCTTCTTTTCCCTCTCTTTAGTGAAAGAAACTGATCAGCGATCGAGTTTTTTTTTTTTTTTTTTTTCGGACCATTTGTCGATATATCATTTATGTGTGTCATCCTTGAAAGTGCAGGGGCCATGCTAATCTTCTTCTCGGTATCGATCCAATTTTAACGGATGTCCCAGGTTATCTTTTTTTTTTTTTTTTTTTTTTTTTTCCGATCGCTCTTGTCTGTAACACTCGAAAGAAAGATTTGTCCATCCGTCTCGCTATTCATCTTCCTTCTTTCAGCTCGACTGAGGACGTTTTCACACTAGCAGTTGCTCAAAAGTATCTGACCGCAATCACAACCAGAAAATAGTAGAAAATTCCTAGTGTGAGTCTTATCCTGCCTGGGTTGGCTTCAGACATGACGAAGGTAGAGGTAAGTAGAGTTTGAGATCACTGCAACCCTTGAGAAGTATCCATTTTAGGAAAATATATGATCACATCAAGCCATCGGGAACCTGCTGAGTAAAAGCGCCAAGGGGTTGTGAAAAACTGTTGCGGCGCACTTTTCTTCGCCAACTCATGAAGAGACGGAACCCTCGACAGTCCGTTCAGTGCGCCCTAACAAAAGATGCCGTAAGTGTTGAAGTCCAGCTTAACCCTAGTTGCAGGCCTGCAGTGTCAGTCCCCCACAACTGATACCCTGAGCCTGAGGTGGGCACCAGGCACTGCCTCCACGGGTACCTGTGATCAAAATAAAAGTAAAAGCAGACTATCACCCATCCACACCAGATGCAAGACCCTACGGACTTTACGTTCAAATCCCCTAAAAAAAGAAGACTATCACCCATTATCGATGAACCATCATTCTATTGACATGCAATTTGCTAAGCAAATGTGTGTGCCTGTGTGTGTGGATGGGTGTGCACGTGTGTGGACGCGTGTGGACGTGTGTGGTTGTGTGTGGATGTGTGTGGACGTGTGTGGATGTGTGTGGATGCGTGTGGTTGTGTGTGGATGCGTGTGGATGTGTGTGGACGTGTGTGGATGTCTGTGGATGATTGTGTGCGAGCGTATGTGCCATGAATGCACACAAAGAGCATGACGGTGACAGACAGTTGCATCCGACTTTCACCGACGCGCACGCACTGCGTGTGTGTGTGCATGTTCTTGTGCAAGGATGTGTGTGCATGCGTGTGTTTGTGCGCATGTGGGTTCACTGAACACAACTGCAGAGAAAGAGAATGACGGCGACGGATGAGCTTGCGTCGGACTTTCGCTGACTCATCGGGAGTTCGACTCCCGCCTGTCTATTGTTCTGCAAATCCACCGAGATGCTTTTCGAAATGCATGGCAGTGTTATCACACGTCCTGTGACTTCTGTTTCTTTGTGTTGCTGTGCAGAGGCAGGTGGTGTTGTGGTGGACGCAGCTGGAAGACCCCTCGACTTTTCGAAAGGTCGGTTTCTTGACCTGGAGAGGGGAATCGTAGCCACAAATCCTCAACTGCTCCCAATTGTTCTTGCCGCTGTGCAGACAGTGCTGCGAGGGGAACAGCCCCTCTGAGAAAACTTCATTTCTCGAGGGGGAGCGACATCCCATCTTGAGATCAGTTCGGCCTGCCCACATCTGAAAACCGTTCGACGAACTGTCCGGTCGTTCGATTAACTGTCCGGTCGTTCGATTAACTGTCCGGTCGTTCGATTAACTGTCCGGTCGTCCGATTAACTGTCCGGTCGTTCGATTAACCGTCCGGTCGTTCGATTAACTGTCCGGTCGGTCTTTTCCGCTTGATGAAAAACTGCCTGAGCAAGGTGTGAAGATTTCAAGGACACTCTGCAGCTGACGACTCTTGCCGGAGAACAGGCCGAGATGCCTCTGAGCAGTCCCTTCTGAGAACAGGTTGAGACCGTTCCGAGAACGAGTGGGCCTACCGTCTTCACCCGAATAGAACGCCCGGTCATTATAGCTGTATTTGGTGCAAATTTCAGTCCAGATACCGCAATAAGTACCGTGCGTTCTATTCGGGTGAAGACGGTAGCTCAGTTGGTAGTAACTTGGTACACTCATGAACTCTTGAAATGCAGACGTCCTGAGTTCGAGTCCAGACGGACGAGATCGAGATCGAGTAATTTCTGAGTTACCTTGGGCTGGGCTGGTCAATTGGACGATAATATCGCAAGGCTGTCCCCCCCCCCCTCCCCCTTTTTTTTTCTCCCAAAGAAAGAGAGACCAACATTCTGAGGAACCCCGTCTGAGAATATCCTGAACAGCCTGTTCTGGGCCCAGTGGGACCTTCCCCTCTTGAGCGCACCCTTAGAGCAACCTGCCCCTTCTGAGCACAGGCTGAGAATAGTCTGGTTAGTATGTTTGACAACAGTGGAGCAGCGTCTAATGACAACAGCCCCAAGAACAGGACATCCATTAAAATCTGGAACGCTACAGAGAGTGAAGATTAGCATGGTAGAGGGTAGATGGTGAAAAAAAAAAGAAAAAAAAAGAAGAAGAAGAAGAAGAAGAAGAAGAAGAAGAAGATTAGCATGGCACGGCCCCTGCGCTTTCAAGGATGCCATCCATAAATCGAGAAATGGACCAAATGGCAAATTTCCCATTGTTTTGGGACAATGGAACAGCCTAAGAACAGTCTGAGGACAGCCTGAGGCCACATTGACAACCCTGTGCTGAAAACAGGCTCTGAGCACAGCCTGAGCACAGTCTTCTGAGACCAGTGTAAGCAGCTGCTTATGAGAGCACAGCCTGAGTATAGGAGGCCAGCAGGAGCACAGCTTGGAAGAACCCTTGGGCTTTTCAGGGGATTTGGGGAGGTGTGAAGATGTCTAAAAATGATGTTAAAAAATCTGCTTTTCGCTGTTTTGGGAGTGTTCATCCAACCGTCTTCCTGCGAATAAACGGTACGTACTATGTAGTACGGTCATTTCTGCTGCATCTGGACGAAAAGGTGAGTACCTTGCACTGGACTAAATGCTGACGAATCGGTGATGATGCATATGCTTTGATGTGACGGCATGGTAAGTCGGCGAGGGTGTACTTCACTTTCGCAAGAATATCGTACTACCATCTTGCCCCCAATAGAGCGTACTGTCGTTATCGCTTTATCAAAGTTTATCTGGACTGAAACTTGCCCAAAACACAGCTATGGTGACTCTGCGGCGTGTGTTAGGTTTGGGGAAATTTGCAGCTATTTTATTGAACCATATACTACGTCTAGGTAATTCGCATCTACTTCGCCATAACATTCGTACCGAGAGCAGAAGAATAGTCCGATTGTCCGAGTGTGAAACTCTTGACTATTGAGAGTAGAAGAGTAGTCCAACCTTCACACAGGCTTCGCCCGAATAGAACGCCCTAAGCTTGTCATTGTAGCTGGATTTGGGGCAACTTTCAGTCCAGATTCAACTGCAATGACCGGGCGTTGTATTCGGGTGAAGACGGTAGTGTGAAACTCTTGAGTTTTGACTGTAGAAGAAGAGTCCAACCTTGATAGTGTGAAACTCTTGAGCGTCTATATACTACTTGTCAATGTATGAATGAATGTTACTACTGAAGCCAGTCTAGATACAGTCTGGTGTACCAAGTCCAAATTCGCTAAAGAGAAACATTGATGGGAATGCACAATGGAATCTTCAGCTCTCTCCTCCTCTCAACCCCTCTCCTCCTCTCTATTCTGTGTGTTGTATTTTTGCTTGGTCGAAGTTGGTTGGTTCTATTCTCTTCCTCCTCTTGTGTATTTGTTGTTCCTTTGTCCTGCTCTCTTCTCTATGTTTATTAAAGTTTAGATCTACTCTCTCCTCCTCTCAAGCCTAAAAAAAATTGTCACTAAGTTGAAGTCTGAAATTTATTGTCAAACTCTCAAGAATCTTCTCATCTCATTCCTGTTCTTTATTATTATTTTTATTATTTTTGAGTCTTGACTCTTGATATATTTATCAGTGCAAAATAGTTATCACAACTTATCGGTTTGGAATCTTGATATATTTAGAATCTTAGATTCTTTACTCGTCGGCGATTGCTCTCGTAAGCTTCATCTTCCTTCAAAGTTGGAACCTAAGATTCGTGTGTGGGGAGTAGGGATGCGCCGGGGATGGTAATGATGAGCAAGGGTGGGAGAGAGAGTCCCATATGGGGCCTGTGTAGAAAACAAATCATCTGGATGACCGAATGGCAAACTTGAAGGGGCTGTGATATGCTTGGTGGCTAGCCTCTACAAGGATCTGGGCTTTGAAAAAAAAAAAAAAAAAAAAAAAAGAAAAGAAAAGAAAAGAAAAGAAAAGAAAAGATGATGCATGTGTACCTTCCAGGAACATGGGATAGTGAAAGACCTGTTTTTTGTCTTGTCATCCTCCTCCATCTCCTCCTCCTCCTCCTCCTCCTCCTCCTCCTCCTCCATCTCCTCCTCCTCCTCCTCCTTTCATGAGCAGGGTGTGTTATGCTGGGCAAAGACGGTAGTAGGAAACACGAACAAGAGCTTCTTCATCAGAAGAGTGTACGCCGTACGGTGTATGATAGGGGTGAACTTTGTTTGTTGTTGTATTTTTTGCATTAGGGTTTTTAGCTTCTTTCTTTTCTTTTTAAACATTGGTTTGGCTGGTGGCCACTCTGTGGGGAGCTGGTGAAAGGGTTTTTTTTTTTTTTTTTTTTTTTTTTTTTTTCATGCTGCGATCTATGTTTGTTGGGACCAGCATGTGCTGAAAACTGAGCCCAGTGTCTTTTACAATAAGATAACAATAATGGATAGTTGATGATTACTGGTGAAGATACAGAAGCATTTCCCAGTGGCAAATTTTGTGTAAAAGGTTTCGGGGTCTTGTCGTAAAGAACATGGGAAAACAAAATCCTGAAAATTTAGGGCTCTGTTAACTAATTCTATTCTCATCCGGTGCACAGTCTGCGAAAACAAGCTGTGTGTGTACAGACAGTAGCATCGGTACCGTCGTTACCTGAATAGAACACCTGGTCATTATAGCTGTATGTAGACTGAAAAGTTGCACCCATACATTAAAAAAAAAAAAAAAAAAGTTGCACCCATACACAGCTACAATGACCAGGCGTTGTACTTTGGTGAAGACAGTAGACACCGAGTCCTCTATACGCCACGGGGCTTTAAGACACAAGGAGTACCCACCTGGGGTCGTGGGCCTGACACCTTGATTTCCGGAGGCGGCCCGAAATGCTGTATCCGCCATTGCTGAACTTTATGAACGGCGTGCGGGCCCGAAATTTCGCTGGTGCCACTTTGTTGTGGCGACAAAATGTTTTTTTTCTGCAAGGCTGGGGTCGTGTACTGGCGGTCTAAGCAAGCTGGCAGTTCATCTTTGTGTAAGGAAAGCAATCAATCCTGCCTGTGGGTAACCCTGGGGCGAGGTCTCATTAGCAGAGAGGATTGGATTGAGATCCTGAATCTGGACGTGGTGTAAGCACAGATGCAGAAAATCAGTTCTATCTCGATTTCCTGCACATCGCCACAAACTCGTCCGGATTCAGGCATTCGATCCGATCCTCTGGGACCTCGCCCCTGGAATCAGTTCTTTTCTATTTCGTGTGCGTTATTTGTGATGTTGGGGCCGGTTGCTCCCCTCTTCCTGCGAACAGATTGTACGGTCATTATATCTGTATTTGGCCCTACTTCAGTCCAGATGCAGTGAAAAAGACCTTATGTTCTACTTGGGTGAAGATGCTAGCAGGTGTTGCTTCCCACCTATAGATGGAGCCTTACAGCGGAATAGGTAGGACTGAAGGCACCATTCCAGCTGACCATTGGCTCGCCAGGGTCCGTCACGCTACGCTTGCAGCCACCACCGCTTTCGCCCTAGGACATGCTCACAATAGGACTTTCCTGCATGCATCTCACCACAATTAACCCCTGACTCGGATGTATCCGGCCGCAAATACGTCCACATAACTCCACAGTTCATTCCTAAAAGTCCTAGCGTAAGTATGCCCTTAGTAACCCAATTCACCGTCAGAATCTGCGGTGGCAACATGTAGGTCAAGCCTGCCAAGGCCTCCGCGGGAGGACTGCTGTGATGGCAAAAGGATTGTGAGCCAGTGTGAGGTCATCCACAAAGAAGAGAGAGCACACCGGCCCACATTAAAATGACACTCGGGAATTTTAATAGGATATGAATGTTCGGTTGAGATCTAATGGGGAAGGGCTACCATTCCCAGAGTTTTTTTTTTTTTTTTTTTTTTTCCCCTATTAGGGGAAAAGAAACAAGAGTGGCAGGGATATCAAACATAAGGACAGATCAATCCAGTGCGTGTTTTGAAAGTATTATCTAAATCATGTCAGAGCGCCTGCATGTGTCCTTCAGGATATCCGCTAAACTTGGAACAATATAGAGAGGATCAGCACTCTGTGCAAAAGTGAAATGCATAAATCAAGACATGTCCCTTTCCTCCCCCCCCCAACACATCAGCGCCTGGATGTGAAAAGCCTTCAGTTTGGGATAATTTGGCCGTTACGGTCCTTGATATAGACAGTAGGTTATAAATTATAATCCAGCATTGTCTTTCTTTTTTGTCCTTCCGTTGGGGCATGCTCTTCTTCTTTTTTTTTTTTTYTTTTTTTTTTCCTTTTTTTTTCTTTTTTTTTTTTCTTAAACAAGGCACCTACTAGGCAAGGTGATAAGAGCAGCCTTGCCTCCCGCTTTGCCACTTCCCCTTTTATATTATAGGGCCCAGTGCCCGAGGCAGAACGCAGTGTAAAGGTTTGATTTGTTTCTTCCACAGGGCAGCTGCTCCACCTGTGTGACCCCTGAAAATTTTTCCTCTTCTTGCCAATTTCTACGCACTGCCGTGGGCACTGGGACTGTATACATCTTGTTTGGCCGGCTGTCTGGCCAAACAAGATGGGAAATTGCACCGGCCTCGAGGCCACGAGCCTTCCACCTCAGGGGTCTGGTCCCAGCTACAGCGTTGAGTTTTCTCAACGCTTAGCTTTCTATCACGTGTGGCATGGTGGGATGGAGCTCTGCCGTTGATGTATTGTGATCTAATGGTGCCGAAATACAGGAATAAACTATTAGATTTTGTCATTTTGTAGAATTTTTCTTTGACGTAAAATCCGTTTTGTAGTATGCTTTGGCCCTTCTGGTTTGGGCGGGAAACCATTTTCCATTGAGAAAACTACCCTACCGAGGGTAGGGTACATTTCTCAACTGCAGTGCCTTCCCTTTTTTTAAGTTTTTTTTGGTTTTTCAGACATCATTACTTCCTGAAACGGAGGAACTCTGACAGCTGTGTTTGGCTGTCTGGCATCAATTTAAATTTTAAACTCTTTTCTTTCTTTCGGCAATGAATGCATTTGGCCATCCACGTTGTCCCTGTCCATTTTACAAATGGTGACCTCCTGTCCCCTCACAACGGGGAGCATCCCTTTTTCACAGAGACATTCACTCCGACTGTTCCAGACATGTTTCATTTCTCTGAGTTACGTTATTAGAAATAAGGAGAGAAGCTGTTTCTAGAGTTTTTTTTCAGTTTTTTAATTTTTTGTTTCAAATTTATTAATGTCGAAATGGTGTCTCACCGTTAAGTTTTCTAAACTCAACAACGGTAGGTGGAACCAGACGGCTGAGCCTCTGGCCTGGTAAAAATATAAAAAGAAATGAGAAAGAAACCACTCTGGAGTCTGGAAAAAAAAAAAAAAAAAAAAAAAA